TTCTTTTTAGACTTTAAAGCGTCTCTTGACATGGCAAATTCTTGATCTTTAAATATATTGACTGTGGACTGCTTATCATTGAGGTATCTCTGAAGACTTCGATGGAAAGAGGTTAGTGTAGAGGGCTCGTACGCTTCGCCATCTTTCTTTTGTATCTCGATGAAGAAACGACAGATCAACAAATTTAGCTTTTGTGGAGGTATGTTTTCAACTTCTGTAGTTTCTCCCCACTCGGACAAGTATCTTCGCCACACATTTAGGTCATACTGAGTTTTCTTAATAGTATTTTCTGGACGCTGAGTCTGTATGAAACTTTGGACGTCGTCCACTGAAAAACTTTGCTTTTCTCTGGTTTTCTCGCTTTCGTTTTCATTGTTTTTGTAGTCCAAAGGATAATAGAATTCGCTATCACTATGCTCGTCATCAGACATCTTACTGAGATAAACGTGACTGTAAAACAGCGTGTTTTGTAGAGAAAATAAGTGAATAAATATTGCCAGTAAAAACAACAAATTGCAATACTTGTTTTGTTGTTTAGCGGCCAAGGATACCGGACCGCGACCGCGGGCAGATACTGACAAAATACCGCCCGCTCAAACAGCCAATCAGAACGCACGATTTTTTAGGATACCGGACCGGAAAAAAATAAAACCACATATTTCCCAGCTTTTGTATCGGGCTTCTTGTGGAAAAACGATATCATTTCAAAAAATCGCAGAAGACGTAGGAAATCGCTTCAGAGAGAATTGCTTTTCTTAGCACTCAAAATATATTGGTCAAAAATAAAAGTTCGAATTCTATAACCATAGTTAATGGAGCGGAATGGTTGGGAAACCTATTGTTCTAGGTTTTTGTTCAACTTTATCCATTGTTTTATGACGTTGACCGTGTGCAGAGAAGGTAAAGTAATTTTGCTCCGCTAGTTCATAGTATTCGGGAATATAGAAGTTATTTCCTCCGAAAAACGTTCTAAAATACTTATGATTTGTTTATTAATGTTATATGATTAATACTAATTGTTTATTGAAAAGCAAAATGCCTTTTTAAATGCTTTCTTATCTATCTTAGCTGTATCTGCGCGGAAATATTTACGGCATGGTTTGTGGTCATCGAATGAAAGTTTTCACTTTCAAAATGTTCATACATGAAAATAATAAGGAAATGAGTATTTTCAGCCATACTTGCTTTGGATCATTGTGCACGGTCAGTATCACGTGGTGGTACGGTTCAACCTCAAACGTAAAACAATAGCTTTGTTCTATGGAGTTTCCAAACCATTCCGCTCTATTAACTATGCTATAACTAATAAACCTTCGTTCGTTTTGGGAACATTTTAGGATGTCAGTTGCGTGGAGGTTTTGAGAGGGGCGTTTTTAAGGCTGATTTCTGTTACAAACACAAAATCGTAACAGATCGGAAATCAACTTTCAAAACGGCTTTCTCAAAACCCCCTTAAACTCTCTTTTAAAAAAACCAGAACCACTCAAAACGCTGGAAAATGTCTTTAAGCTCACTTGAGAAAGATTGTTAGCTATAGAACCTTTATTTTTGAGCATTAAAGTTTAAGGTTTGAGAAGCGATTTCTTTCGTCTTCTATGACTCTTGATATGATATCTTAGTACTACA